TAATTTTAATTCGCCACGTTTGACTGCGTTACACTGTACGTTCATTGCACTCTGAGATGAAATACCAAGTCATAGTGAGTTTCATCACATAGTTGATCTTTTCCAGATAGACCATGAGTGCATAATGTTACTGAAGAAAGGTTTGTCGTACTGTCAACTATGTTTCTATGAACAGCTAGCTGTTGTCTTCAGTCGGAAGGCTATATATTGTAGCGGTAAATAAATCCCCAAAATAAATAGCCCTGTAAGTTTTCGACATTGGATCCTGACCATATGTTTTAGTGGACTCATCTAGCTGAAGGCGCTCGGTCGGTCATCCGCACCAGATCACGTGTGGTAACGCCGTGCTCAACATTAACCGCAATCGCTAGCCAGATTAGATCGGAGAATTCCGATATTTTGGTTATCGCCACATACACTCTTCCGATCTCCTCGACTCTGTCTTTTGATTTCTGTGGGTGGTTACGAATTATATTAGGTGTTACTGGTAGAAGCGTTGTCAAACACTGAATACCTGTGCCATCTTCAATATATAACCTTTGTCTTCTGTTAGGTTAGTTCGACTGGCCTATATTTCGTGTTTTGGTTTTATCGGCTAAATTATGACCATTTAACTGCTTTGAGCAACATTTCTATGCAAATGAAACAATAACAATGACACTAGCTTAATTTAGTATTCTTGGTTGTCGTATAATTCAGTTTAGTTGAAAGAATTATGGTATTCTTAAGTATAGTGCTTGAAGCCTGTAACGAAACAGATCAGTTTAGTAAGTAGAGTTGCCTGTTTCTGATGAGTATATTGATTCAAATCAGTCTGATTAAACATAGGAAAAAACGTGCCTTTGATGCTGTTGCTGTCATTCATTATAAGATGGCGATAAATATGTTTGTTGTTTATTTCTTGACTGTACGTTTATCACTGACCATACTTCATAATCACCGTCATTAAACAGTTTCCCCGGCAATAACATCGGTAGCAAGATAGCTAAGCGTCTGAGCTTTTAGTTGCCCGCAAAACAGCAGTATACAGTCTTAGGAGATGAGTGTTCTGTGTCTCAGTTAAATGCAGCTAGCTGTGGATAAATGTTAAGAATCTTTTTGACAACTGGGACCTTTAGTTTATCAGACAAACTCTGCTTGTATGTTTTCCTGTTAAACTAGACGCAGATGCATGGGAATACTTAAATGGGAGCAAAATAATAAAAACATTGAGATACGGTACTAAGCCCATGTTATGCTTTGCACAAGTAATAGTAGCTGACCCGATCTAATATTCATGAACTCAAGGTAAGTCACAACTGCATAAATCCTTTGCTAAAAACATTTCATCTGGTTATTTATCTAATCCACATTTCTTACTATATTCATCACTATTTTTTCATTTAGAATGCAACAGGAGTGAGCCTTCATAGATCCTAAGATCTGTTTCGCCCTTAGAACTATGACGCTATGGAGCTGTTTACGGGAGATCCAACTAACAGCAGATTATAAAAAGGATGCTGGAAGTCCATTTTAGTCTCACAACCACTTCCAGTACTTTTTGAGTTACTTATTTTACCCTTTCGTTTAGAAAAAACAACAAAGACTACAGCTTATCATTACCTGTGCAACTTTTAAACTGGGACTTCGTTTAAACTCTTGTTTGATATTCGATTCTTAATGAAAGTTCCTGAATAAATTTTCAAATCTAATGCGACTTTGTTTTATCTACTTAATCGTTGCAAGAAACTTGTGATACACGAGCCACTCAGCACCTAGTTCATGTGTTCAAATGGTTGTGGACGCAATAGAAGAAGATTTCGCTTAACAGGCTTCCGTGTCTAGTATCAGGTGATCAGGAATAACTCCAGGCAGGCAGGTCTGTAGTGACGGTTGAAGGGCAGTCGAAGTTTGCTACCCATCGTTCGACGAAGGTGCGGGTCACTGTTTCAGCATTGATGTCCTTGATAGGTACTGCTTCTGGCCATCGAGTGAAACGGTCTACGCAGGTTAAAAGGTAAGAGTATCCATTTGAATCTGGTAAAGGTCCTACCAAATCCAGATGAACATGGTCGAAACGAGCATCGGGAGTTTCAAAAGAGCCTAAGGGACATTTATTGTGTCTGATGACCTTAGATTTTTGGCAGCTTACACAAGAGCGTGCCCACTCCCTCACGTCTTTATTCATGACAAGTCAGCAAAACCGTTCTGCTATAAGCCTGATGGTTGCACGAACACCTGGATGCGAAAGTTTGTGTAATGTATTGAAGACATTGCGTCGATAATGTTTCGGCACGATTGGGCGATCCATACCTGTAGATGTGTCACAAAGTAAGGTTTCCTTACCTGTTCCCATCTGTTTGATGCGTAGTTTAAGGGTTGTGGACGATAACTCGTGTTGAAGATCAGTGTCTTCTTTTTGAAGCTCGGCGAGTTTCAGAAGGTCGATTCCTTGGAAACTGTTCTAGGAAGGTATGCGAGATAAGGCGTCTGCAACTACATTGTTTGCTCCAGAAATATGTTGAATATCTGAAGTAAACTGCGAAATGTAGTCCAGTTGTCGAGACTCACGAGGAGAGTACTTGTCAGAAGGAGAGCTTAACGAGAAAGTGAGCGGTTTATGGTCCGTGAAAAGAGTGAATTCATGGCCTTCGATGTAGTGTTGAAAATGTCTTACAGCACAATACATAGCTAGGAGTTCCCTACCGAATGTGCTGTACCTCGATTCGGCGTCTAGCAACCTTCTAGAGAAAAATGCCAAAGGTTGCCAGGAGTTGTTAACCCATTGTTGTAAGACTCCTCCGATTGCCGAGTCCGATGCGTCTACTGCGATGCTAATGGGTGCTTCGGTGTCCTGATGTGCGAGCATTGTTGCTTTAGCGATCAGTTCCTTAACTGTGGAGAATGCTTTTCGTGCGGTGTCGTCCAAATTAATGGATTTTGCATTTCCACGAAGTTGGTTGGTTAACGGTTTCATGAGTAATGCGCATTTGGGTATGAAACGTCTATGGAAACTTACGAGGCCGTTAAACGTGCGTAATTGCTTGACGGTGGTCGGTTCTGGGTAATCCAGAATGGCCGCCACTTTGGTCCTAAGGGGTCGAATCCCTTGAGCATCGATAGTGTGTCCTGGGAAGTCCAACGAGTCGGTTCCAATTTGGCATTTCTGAACGTTTACAGTAATGCCATGTTTTTGTAGTCGTTCGAAAACAAGATCCAGATGCTTGAGATGTGATTCTCTGTCCGGACTTGCGATTAGGCAGTCGTCAACATACGCATGTACGAAGTTGAGGCCTCGAAAAATGTCGTCTATGAATCTTTGGAATGTTTGAGCAGCGTTCCTTAAACCGAAAGGCATTTGCAAAAATTCATAGAGTTTGAAAGGAGTTATGATAGCTGTTTTCGGTATGTCGTCAGTAACCGTAGGGGTTTGGTTATACGCTTTAACCAAATCGATTTTCGAAAAGACAGTTGTACCTTTCAAGGTAGCTGTCGAATCGTGAATGTGAGGCAACGGGTAACGATCGGGAATGGTTTTCGCGTTCAATCGCCGATAGTCACCAGTTGGACGCCAATCGTTGCTGTCCTTCTTGGGGACTATGTGCAACGGAGATGCATATGCGCTATTTGACGGTCGTATGATTCCTAAGTCTATCATATGGTCGAACTCGTTTTTTGCCAACCTTAGCTTTTCGGGAGCTAGTCGTCCTGCTTTAGAAAATACAGGTTGTCCTGTAGTCGTGATGTGATGTGTAACGTTGCTGGTTACACACGGTAATTTCAGTTACGTCTGACGAATCCCAGGATACTTATCGAGTAGCGGTTGATAAAGTGGGTCTATCGCATGCTCAATTGTGACTGGGGATAATCTGCAACCAGAAAAAGAAGTTACGCAAACGGATAAATTAGTGTTTCCGTATATCAGCCTCCGTTTGCGAGTATCGATGCTTAGATTATGGTGTTGTACATTTTGCCATATTTAGCGATAGGTTTTCCGTATGCCGCCTGTAAGTTTAAAGCCGATTCGTTAAGCCGGTGGTTGGAATTCGCTGGGAGAACGCTAACTTCTGCGTCAGTATCGACGAGGTAGCGAACTCTCGTTGTCACATCTGTGACGTACAACAGACGTCTATGTTCGCCGACTACGGTTACCGTTAACGCTTGCCGGCTTGGAAGTTTCCCGACTTGTTTTTCGAGTCAGTCGGTTTCGTGTTGAGAAAATTGTAGGGTTTTCTGCAATTTCTGGAAATTTTTCCATACTGGTTATGATACTAGCACCAGTCGGGGTTATCCGTCTCTCGTGATCTAGAGACAGATCGCTTACATGAAATGCTTCTACGCGGGGTGTGTAGGCTCTTACGGTCGGTACGAAGATTAAGATAGCGCGTGAGTGTATGACATAACTCGGTTGTCATTCTGAGTCGTTTGAGGCTCTTCTTTGACTGAAAAACCTCTGTCGCAGAAGAATTCGTAATCTCTAAGATATGATCGGCAGATGCAGCCAGTTCGTCTAAGGCGTTGTTCTGAAACATTATAATCTAGTTATTTAATTAAAATACATTATGAAATGACGAAATTTGTGGTTGCTTAAACGCACAAATAACCCTGGGCGATACATAGAATTTACATGGTTGCGTTGCGGATAAATTTACCCATTAAAAAATGACCACGTTTTGGATATTACATATATGTGAATTGAATGAGTGTATATATAAACTGGGTGGTGAAAGTCGTTTTACTCATTGCTGGACAGAAGAATAACACAACATACGTCAACAGTCCATTGAAACCCAGATAGAGTAAGCAAAGCATGAAATAATATATATAGGCATACAGTTCACACCGTCATGCCGGTTGTTACTTTCAATAAGAAATGAAGCGTGTTAAGAGAAGCTTCTATAACTTCCAACTGCGTTGATTGGACTTACGATCGGGAAAGCTTGTTTGTTCAAGTAAATTCAATCAATACGGAATCTTGCGAAACTTTGAAACACGTCATTGGATTTCACTTAGATCTTGTGATGACAGCCTCTTCGCAAAACTCATGCTTAAATAGCTTCGATATTCGCAAACCAAGTGCGGATTCTGCTAAAGAAGGTCCAAGTGGTTCCTCTCGACAACCAGCTTTCAATGCATATCCCCTTGAATCTTCACCTAATTTGCTTATTCCAACAAATGATGTGATATATATGCCATTAAATCCCACAAATGTGCCTTTGTCGCTACAACGTGCATGTGCCTCCAATGAGACTGTAGGCGGTGATACACAGAGTTACAGTCATCCAATATGTCATGGCTTCATTTTTCCAAACTCAGAAGTAAGTTCAAATGATGCTGAATTTAACCAGATAAACATTCCGAGTATGCAAAATCATATCAATGATGTTCCTTACAGTATACAGAGCCAGAGTTCGAGCAACGTGGACACAAATGCTCAAAAACATCTTCAACTCCTGTTGCTTCAAAAGTTAATTGAGTTGCAGCTTGCCGAACATTATAACTCAATTAAAGACACACTAATACTAACTAAAGACTCCAATAATGAGTCTCAAAACCCTAAACTACTGCCATGTTTTGTCAAAAACTTTGACTTTGATGCAAGTTCCAACCCAGTTTCAACTGTAAATAACGAAAACTCAGATATGTCGACATTTTTGGTCCCTGTTAAAGCCAAGTTTGAGGGCGAAAGTGGTTTGTCTTTACACATAACTCCAAATGACGAAATCAGTAATGCGACCCAAGGAAGTCCAGTTACCGTAGCATACTCGAGTCAACCCATCGTCTTGATGATGTCACAGGTATTCAGTGTTTGACAACGCTTCTACCAGTAACACCTTCTAATATATTTCGTTCCCGCCCAGAGAAATCAAAAGACAGAGTCGAGGAGATCGGAAGAGTATATTTGGCGATGACCAATATATCGGAATTCTCTGATCTAATCTGGCTAGCGATTGCGGTTGATGTTGAGCACGGCGTTACCACACGTGATCTGGTGCGGATGACTGACCGAGCGCCTTCAGCTAGGTGAGTCCACTAAAACATATGGTCAGCATCCAATGTCGAAAACTTAGTGCTATTTATTTTGGGGATTTATTTACCGCTACAGATCACTCCCCCCCTAGTGGGGCAGTGACGACCCTAAGACGTGGCCAGCCAGAAGTTTAAACCCAACGAGTTTGTCGTTGGTAAACACTCTTCTGATAGCTTACTAAATTTAGCAGCGTCTGGTCGTCTTTCCTTACTATATGGGACGGAGGTACAACATAGTAAAAAAAGAAAATGTACATGGAAAATTTCGGATCCTCATAAACGTCATCGTTCTTTTCCAGCCGTCCTGGAAAAGAAAAAAGAAAATGTAAGTGCATGTCGAAATACACTCGTATGTGCGTCAAAGCACAATGTCGGCGGAAAAAAAAATGGAAAATAAACTCATGAACACGTAATAGCGTTAAAAAAATTGTTTTTTTGTTTTGTTTTTTTTTTAAATAGAAATAAAAATATATAAGCATATTAAAATTGTTTTTTTTTTTTAAAAATAATATAAAATGTCGAGAAGTGCCTTACGTGCAATAGTCGTTTAGATGTTCTGGAAATCTCACCCTTCTTCCAGAACGCGTCGTTTTAAGTTTATTTTCGGATACTGTCGAAGTATCATCGTGTGTGTTGGTTGTCGGATGAGGTATTATAAGTGTCGGAGTCGTGTCGTTCAATTGTACCGAAGGAAAATCCACGTAGATAGGATTTCCTTCTAAATACGCTGCTTTTAAGCGATCGATACTGATGCTATCGTTGGTTCCGTTCTTATCGACTATATAGTACTTAGATTCACGTTGAAGAACTTTGAAGGGTCCTTCGTATGCTGATTCGAAGGGTCGTCGATGCGAGTCTCGACGAACGAAAACGTGTGTACTATATCGTAAGTCAGGTTGAACGAAAACATCAGTCGATTGAGGTCGGGTGGAAGCAGGTTTAACTGAACGCATTGCGTTTGTAAGCCTGTTCGTGTAGGAGGTTAGATCCATGTTCATTGAAGAGGATGAAGGATCCACGAATTCTCCTGGAAGTCGAAGTGTCGTACCATAAACGAGTTGAGACGCCGTGTATCCAATGTCAGCTTTCACTGCATTGCGGATACCTAGTAAGACGAGTGGAAGAGCGTCGGTCCACTGTGAAACGTTTGTAGCTGATAGCGAAGCTTTCAGTTGTCGGTGAAAACGTTCTACCAACCCGTTTGCTTGTGGATGGTAGGCGGTCGTTCGGAAGCGAGTGCTTCCTAAAAGAGTGGTCAGACGACGGAAAAGATCAGATTCAAATTGACGTCCGCGGTCTGTAGTGATGGTTGAAGGGCAGCCGAAGTTTGCTACCCATCGTTCGACGAAGGTGCGAGCCACTGTTTCAGCAGTGATGTCCTTGATAGGTACTGCTTCTGGCCATCGAGTGAAACGGTCTACGCAGGTTAGGAGATAAGAGTATCCATTTGAATCTGGTAAAGGTCCTACCAAATCCAGATGAACATGGTCGAAACGAGCATCGGGAGTTTTAAACGAGCCTAAGGGACATTTGTTGTGTCTGATAACCTTAGATTTTTGGCAGCTTACACAGGAGCGTGCCCACTCCCTCACGTCTTTATTCATTCCAGGCCAGCAAAACCTTTCTGCTATAAGCTTGATGGTTGCACGAACACCTGGATGCGAAAGTTTGTGCAATGTGTTGAAGACATTGCGTCGATAATGTTTCGGCACGATTGGGCGATCCCTACCTGTAGATGTGTCACAAAGTAAGGTTTCCTTACCTGTTCCCATCTGTTTGATGCGTAGTTTAAGTGTTGTGGACGATAACTCGTGCTGAAGATCAGTGTCTTCTTTTTGAAGCTCGGCGAGTTTAAGAAGGTCGATTCCTTGGAAACTGTTCAAGGAAGTTATACGAGATAAAGCGTCTGCAACTACATTGTTTGCTCCAGAGACGTGTTGAATATCTGAAGTAAACTGCGAAATGTAGTCCAGTTGTCGAGACTCACGGGGAGAGTACTTGTCAGAAGGAGAGCTTAACGAGAAAGTAAGCGGTTTATGATCCGTAAAAAGAGTGAATTCACGACCTTCGATGTAGTGTTGGAAATGCCGTACAGCACAATACATAGCTAGGAGTTCCCTACCGAATGTGCTGTACCTCGATTCGGTGTCTAGCAACCGTCTAGAGAAAAATGCCAAGGGTTGCCAGGAGTTGTTAACCCATTGTTGTAAGACTCCTCCGATTGCCGAGTCGGATGCGTCTACTGCGATGCTAATGGGTGCTCGGGTGTCCTGATGTGCGAGCATTGTTGCTTTAGCAATCAGTTCCTTAACTGTGGAGAATGCTTTTCGTGCGGTGTCGTCCAAATTAATGGATTTCGCATTTCCACGAAGTTGGTCGGTTAGAGGTTTCATGAGTAATGCGCATTTCGGTATGAAACGTCTATAGAAACTTACCAGGCCGTTAAACGTGCGTAATTGCTTGACGGTGGTCGGTTCTGGGTAATCCAGAATGGCCGCCACTTTGGTCCTAAGAGGTCGAATGCCTTGAGCATCGATAGTGTGTCCTAGGAAGTCTAACGAGTTGGTTCCGAATTGGCATTTCTGAACGTTTACAGTTATGCCATGTTTTTGAAGTCGTTCGAAAACAAGATCTAGATGCTTGAGATGTGTTTCTCTGTCCGGACTTGCGATTAGACAGTCGTCAACATACGCGTGTACGAAGTTGAGACCTCGAAAAACGTCGTCTATGAATCTTTGGAATGTTTGAGCAGCATTCCTTAGACCGAAAGGCATTCTCAAAAATTCATAGAGTCCGAAAGGAGTTATGATAGCTGTTTTTGGTATGTCGTCAGTAGCCATAGGGATTTGGTTATACGCTTTAACCAAGTCGATTTTCGAAAAGACAGTTGTACCTTTCAAGGTAGCTGTCAAATCGTGAATGTGAGGCAACGGGTAACGATCGGGAATGGTTTTCGCGTTCAATCGCCGATAGTCACCAGTTGGACGCCAATCGTTGCTGTCCTTTTTAGGGACCATGTGTAACGGAGATGCATATGGGCTACTTGACGGTCGTATGATTCCTAAGTCCATCATGTGATCGAATTCGTTTTTCGCTAACCTTAGCTTTTCAGGAGCTAGTCGGCGTGCTTTAGAAAATACAGGTGGTCCTGTAGTCGTGATGTGATGTGTAACATTGCTGGTTACACACGGTAGTTTCGTTTGAGTTTGTTGTATCTCAGGGTACTTATCGAGTAGTGGTTGATAGAGTGGGTCTATCATATGTTTAACTGTGACTGGGGATACTCTACAACCAGTAAAAGAAGTTACGCAAACGGACAAATTAGTGTTTCCGTCTACTAGCCTCCGTTTGCGGGTGTCGATGATCAGATTGTGGTGTTGTAGAAGGTCCATACCAATGATTGGCATAGAAACATCTGCAACAACGAAAATCCAGTGGATGGGTTTGCGTAAACCCACGTTAAGGTAAACGTACCTTTTGCCATACGTAGCGATCGGTTTTCCGTTTGCCGCCTGTAAGTTTAGGGTCGATTCGTGTAGTCGGTCGTTAGGAATCGCTGGGAGAACGCTAACTTCTGCGCCAGTGTCGACGAGGTAACGAACTCTCGTTGTCACATCTGTGACGAATAACAGACGGCTTTGTTCGCCGGCTACGGTTGCCGTTAACGCGTGCCGGCTTGGAAGTTTCCCGAATTGCTTTTCGAATCAGTCGGTTTCGTGTTGGGAAAATTGCAGGGTTTTCTGCAATTTCTGGAAAACTTTCCATACTGGTTATGATACCAGCACCAGTCGGGGTTATCTGTCTCTCGTGGTCTAGAGACAGATCGCTTACGAGAAATGCTTCTACGTGGTGTGCGCGATCTCTCACGGTCGTTACGAAGACTAAGATAACGCGTGAGTGTGTGACATAAGTCGTTTATATCATTCTGAGTCGTTTGAGGTTTTTCTTTGACTGAAAATACCTCGGTAGTAGATTTCGTAATTTCTAATATGCGGTCGGCAGATGCAGCTAGCTCGTCTAAGGCGTTGTTCTGGAACGAGACCAGAACTGCTTGCACCTGTTGGGGAAGTTTTGACAAGAAGAGTTGTTTGAATAGACCTTCGTCGAAAGTTCTTGGGCCTATAACCTCTCTCATCCGTTGCAACATGTCTGTCGCAGAACCGTGTTGCAGGTCGATATTGTTGAAGAGTTGATCTAACCTTTGTCGATCGGTTAGGTCTCCTCGTTTAAGAATCGAGCGTTTTAAGATTTCGTAAGGATCGGAAACATCACTAGTAAACATACTAGGTGTTACGTACCTGTTGAATTCGCGCGGTAGTGCCTTGACTACTGCGAGGAATTGTGCACGTGTGTCGATCACGCCGTGCTCGGAGAAGTCGGCTTCTGCGTAGCAAAACCAGGCTTCGATGTTGTCGGGCCAGAAAGGCATGAGTTGAAACGAAGGCGGGGACAAAGTCTTAAGCTTGAGTACTTTAGGTGTCTGTTCAGTCATGATGAATTATGAAGTACGATAATGAACAAGGGGAAAATATATATATCCAGGAAAAAACACGAAAAAAAAAATCACAATGTTTAAAAAAGTTAAAAAAAAATAAGGCAATGATATATAAAAATCCCAAAAAGGAACAGACTCACAGTTGCAATTAGGTGTACCAGATCACGTCGGTTTCACCAATGATGATGTCACAGGTATTCAGTGTTTGACAACGCTTCTACCAGTAACACCTTCTAATATATTTCGTTCCCGCCCAGAGAAATCAAAAGACAGAGTCGAGGAGATCGGAAGAGTATATTTGGCGATGACCAATATATCGGAATTCTCTGATCTAATCTGGCTAGCGATTGCGGTTGATGTTGAGCACGGCGTTACCACACGTGATCTGGTGCGGATGACTGACCGAGCGCCTTCAGCTAGGTGAGTCCACTAAAACATATGGTCAGCATCCAATGTCGAAAACTTAGTGCTATTTATTTTGGGGATTTATTTACCGCTACAGTCTTATATCCATTTTCTGTTCAACAAGATAATTCTACGGAAGATACATTCCCAGCCAGCCAAGCCGTGCCTGATGCGTCCCCAGGTGGACCAACTGCTCAAACATTTACGATGAAGGACATAGATCACTGTATACGGAGAGGTTCTCTGGATTTCCCTTCTGAGCCAAGCAATGACATAGTTGAGAGTATACGAGGTCGTACGAGACCAGGGTTTGTATTGTTAAGCGTTCGGCATGAAAAAATCAACGCAGAAAATAAGATTTCACCAACTTCTGAGAAACATTTCCAGGGGAGTCATCCTCCTATTTCAACATCAGCCAGTCTTGAAACAAAGAAGTCGAAAAGTGTCACCATGTCTAGAAAACTACCTAGAAAGAGATTGAAGCATATGAAAAGCGATGCAGAACTCAAAAAGCGACCCCTAAGAGGTTCGTCTAAATCTCTCCTAAAACGCTCTGAAAACGCTGAAATGTCTCCGACTCCGGTAGAACTTACGGAGGATGATCTTAAAGCTTTATCTCCACAGTCAAGATTTCGAGTGACTAGGTTCGCAGACAAAAAGCAAGCCTGGATAGCTCCTGCAAAGGCAGGATTCACTGTCCATGATTTATGGACAACTAAACTTCCGGAATATGTGTTAAGATGTGCCGAGCACCTAAAACTATCAGGCTCTGGTTTAAACTTACAACAAGAAAAACTTACTGAAATCCCATATTCGTTGGACGACATTATAAACGGACATTGTTTGGCCTGTGAGAAGTCACCTCGTAAGTTTGATATTTTGAGTTAACAAACTTCTCGTTTCATTAATACTTTGACTAGTTATCAAGTTTGAGCTGTCTGCGTACCACGTAAGTTGTGAAGCTTTTTCACGAGGTTACTATTTAAAAATCATTATTTATGAGTTGCAAGGAAACCTTAACATGTTGTTTTGATCAACAACCGTAACTCGTAAAAGACATCATAGCAACTGATCATTAACCAACGCTTCGAAAGGAAGCACTTTCATAGCATCGCTTAGACGATTTCTGGTAAAACAAATGGCTTTTCACGTCTAGACCAAATATATCTGGATGTTGTTCTTAAGTGGATTAAATTTTTTCCCTCAGGAGACCATGGTGTGCATATCAAATTTTTCTATGAATTGCCTTATCTGAATTATATCGTCGGTTTTTGTCCTCGATACAATACCTGTAGATGACTACCTTACCATCGTGAATAGTAGACTACGTACCACGCCTCAAAAAGAGTGAACACTATTTTGTCCAAGCATCGGGTCATTCTAGTTATAAATTTTGTACTTTATCTTACCAATTTTGTATTCATCAACGCAGGTAATTAGGTTGTCCTTAACCTGTTCAATAAGATTCAGTAATCATAGATCTGTATGAGGAATTCATTAACTGAATTTAAATTGGTGGGTGGGGAACGTTGCACACATGTTTTAGTGACCGAATTATGAAACCTGATGCTCCTCAAAATCAAATTCTATCGAAACATCTCTAGATTATTCAGAGTACCTTCATGGTCATATAAATGTATCATTTGGACGGTTCGGTCAACCAGTATTGATCATGAAACAAATGTCTCCTACATTAACCACTCGTTCCGTAATCTACGCGTAGATCTGGTTTGATTCAAAGGATATGGCATTTCATATCTTCTAACCAGCATTTCAGAGCCTATTTTGCATGCACTTGACAGATTGACAGTGAACTGTTGTCTTAATTAATCGCATATAGGCTCATTTCTCCAAGACGTCAAGGTAAAAATGTTGATTTTGACACTGTAAATACTAAAGGTGCTACACAGTCATATCGAGAAGCAAGACCAACAAGATGTTTGGTTTTTTTGAATTCTAGTAATTTCTGGGTTTGACCCAACTCATGTCAATATCATTTTAAAATAAACAAACTTGTTTGAGTATCTGGCTTGAAACACGTCATCTACGTTTACTGTTCTCAAGAAACCTATTCACATGGAGAGAACTTTCAATCTCGTGTTTTGATGAGCATTGGGTATTTCTAGTTTTCCGCCATTTGCATCTAACGTCTTCAAAACAGTTTGCAGAAGTTTACCGGTCTGTAGAGACAGAGAGAGCTACAAACATTCTTGCCGTTTCTTACTCTTTGAGTGCAGGACATCACAGTGACCTTGTTATTCTGACTTATGTTAGAGTTACTCACAATCATTACCCACTATTAGGTAACACGAACCAATTAGAGTATGTTTGATAGCATAGCTTCAATGTTGATACAGCTTTCAAATTTATATACCTTCAAGGGACTTTGAGCTTTGGTTTCACTTATTTACTCACGGATTATTCATGACCATCGTAAGGGACTAAGACTAGGAAGATTTCTTCAGCCGTTTCACTTTAGCGTGGATTTTGTTAGTGGTGATTCTGAATACAATGTCTTCTATCTAGGGACCAAATGTACTGCTGTGCTTTTATTTAAAAATAGATCCGTTGCGATTAAAGCATAAAGATATAGATTAGGCCACATTTTATTGTTAGTCCTACTATACTATGCCAATATAAAAATAATTTACTAATATTTTGTATGGTGAGAGATGGATTTCCGAACCAACACTTTAATCTTAGTCACGCATATTTTGTTGACTGTTTACAACTGTAGCCACTGCTCGTTAGTCTTCTCTAAATTATATCCAAAGCTTTATCTAACTACATTCTATCATTTAGATCTGTAATTTTCCAGATTATCTTTCTGATTCTTCATGTGTTGTTAACATAAGTTGGTTTGAAACATCTATCTTGAAGTTTATATTTTATAAAATTTGCCATCTCTATAGACAACAGTGTTACTGGTCTTTGAAATTAGTATGCGTACTTGTCTTTGCCTATTAAATGACCTGCAAAACTAATCTTCCAATTAGCGTAGCTGATAATTGGTTTTCGAGTGTAAAGTTCTATATTGTACCACTTTACTTCGTCCTGAATTTGTGGATATACGTTTCTCACAACTACCTTTAATATTACTGCATCTAGTAATCGTTCGAAAAGTAGAAGTGGCAGAAACTATTTTCAGATCTCTATGTGCTGGTATTTGTTTGTATGATAATGTAGTACGGGTTCTACTAATCGTCATTCAGAGTTCAGTTTTTTCTTTATTGTTTTTACTCTTTGAAGGAATAGTTTTTGATAAACATGTTCTTTTCCTTTATCAACTATTTCTAACGACGTTTTATTTTTGAATTTCATTCAATGTTAGGTTAACTTTATTCCTTAATCTTCCACTTCAGCGTAGCTTGTATTCCTGTAAGATTTGTCACTTAAGCAGCAATATTGAGTTGACCTAATTACTTACTAAATTTATCAAAGCCTTTTCAAACCCCAAATTATCATATTTTTGATAAATTCAGTTCAACTGAATCTAACATACGTAGCAGTGTAGACGCACAGTTAGTAAACTCATCGTTTAAACTGTTGTACAGTGATATAGACTAATCACTGATCAACTGGCCGCGATACTATCTAAATAAATTTTGGTGTCAAAAACCAGCTGGACAGACAGTTTCTCAAGCGAGGTATTGTTATATCGTAGCAAATAAAATAAAACCAGTTGTATCTCATTTGAAATATTGTTGACCAGAAACAGTTATTGTAATACTGATATTTAAAAAGTAGTTCCTACTATTAAAACTATTAGTACCTAAATATTAAAATGAAATGCCCTAACTATGATCGCTATGAGTTCTCTTTAAACTTTCACATGTCCAAAAGTGTCGAAACATATTTCTCTGAGATAACCATTTTAACGTCTCGCCGGGCTGTATATAATTCGGGAATATTAACGTGATCATATTCAAAAAGTGTACATTGTACTAGAATTAGTGTAACTAGGAAGAAATACTCTGGCAAACATTCAGTGCATCTACTGTTATTTAATTCGCACATGATATCTCTTCCTTTCCATTTATCACTGTAGTTGAAAGATTTATACTCTGATGTGAATCGATTGACTTCTCGTGGTGTTTAGAAATTTTTTTAAAACAAAACAAATGTTGAACTGAATTATCCATTGACTTGTGTATTCTCTAAATAAATTTATGTCGTCTGATGTCATTATGTAATAACCCCATATCTACTTTCTTCTTACTTGTTGCTCACCATGATGATATGAATTTTCATATTGAATTGTAGCAAAAATGTATTCATCTTAGGTTTTGACTTGGTTTGTTCATTGTAGTAATCCATCTGCAAACTAGATCCACTTATTCTAGGATTAATGATATTTTTGATGGTGTTTACAAAGAAATTAAATTTGAAACGACTTAATGAAACAATCAGTACTTGAGTAACGTTGGTTGTACCATTCTATCGTAGTTCAACCTAAGCTCTGTCTTAAAATGTAGAGTCAATTTACATCATCATTTATCGTGTTATTTACTTTAAGTGTGAAACTCCAATCCTTATGATTAGTACTAAATATAATGGGTAAAAATATCGAGTGATAACATGAATCGTTGTGACACGTCTAGCATATCAGTAGCCCATGTAAAACTTTGACCATGTAATAAAAATATGTCATATAAGTTACAGTTACTGGGCTAGCTGGTTAGTCTGTAGCTTTAGTAGTGACGTTTCAACGGTTGGAATAGCTATTCCAGCGGGACTCTCAAACGATGTGTTGAACCTTTTGCTCCCCCGCAGATTAAATGGGTTTATGGAAATACCCAGGATTCTCTTATATTTCCACTAAGTTTCTGTCCAATCAGTTCTGTAGTCACTTCTTTTAGGCGTAGGGTGTATACCTTTTAATAGGAAAAACCTAATGTTCATCCTCCGGGACGTCGATCTACTATAGTTTAAGATAAGAAACGCCTAAGAAAAAGGCTGATTTGTAGTACTATAAAGTCTATATATTGGTATTTGTTCCTATGATAATGTAATACGTGTTCTGCTAGTCATCATTCTGAGTTCAGTTTGTGAGACTTATTGTGATATATTCTGTAAACTTTTCTTCTTTTTCATGCTACTGATCTTCATGGTTTTTTCTTTCCTATAGATTTATTTGCTGCTTAATTATCCTTCTATGTATCCTTCCACCTGCTTTAATATCATATAATTCTGTGGTCATTCTTCGTCTAATTTTAGTTCGGACGTCTAGTTTTTATTGCCAGCCTCCGTCTTCCTGGACATTCGATATAGTTGATAATGCATACAAGCCTTAAAAATCCCATATGTTATCAAACCTGGACGTTTGATAGATCCGCGCATTTATTGACTCTTCGTCCGAGCCTTTTGGTTATGTGCAGATTGCCTGGCTGAGTTTAACGCAATTACCGCAACTAATCTTTTGAGACTCTGTATATTAGGAGATAGAATCGGTTTGAATTGCTCAGGCGCACTCACTTGTTTCTGCTTTATATCCCAGGTTTCTGATCTAGCACATAGTTTTCTGTATTTTTAAAAATCAATTTCAAGAATTTCATCTCGATGTACCTATATAGTAAGGTAAGCTGAAGCAATATGTATGCTCGAAATCCTGTGTTGATTACAACTTACATTCCACATCGAATTGTTTCAATATATAGCATGATAACTAGACTCGGGATTTTTAAGTATAACTGTTTAGCTGCTGTTATTTATATTTGCTAAGGTCTTCTACAACCACTTATTGGATGCTGTACCATCCTGTTTTGCACTCTACAGCTTTTTAGCTGTATTATGGAAGTCTAATTTTGCCAGTACCTTGGAAGCAATTGAACTCAAGAATTTTCGGCTTCAATAAGAAAAGTCCAG